AGAAGAGCCATCACAATAGATTTGTTACTTTGCCTTAAGGCCTCATATACTAATAAAACCAAAATGTCTTCTCTGCAACTTGTTCCACCTTCCCAAACATATGCACCCATCACTGATATACATATTATTTATTAGTTCATCTTATTCTCTCCAGGGAATTACACAAAGCAGGAAAATCGCTTGAACCCAGAAGGTGGTAGGCAGAGGTTGCAGTGAGCCAGGATTGTGCCACTGCACTCCAGCCTGGGCGACAGAACGAGACTCCATCATGATACATATAAAAAGCTTGGTGAGAGTAATAGCTGGGAAGTGGCAGATAGATTTGTTCAATTTCCCATTGTCAATTAGGTGATAATGATAACAAAAAGGATGACATTTATTGACTGTATGTGATCTTCTCTTACCTCTCAAAAACACTATTTATGAACACTGTCTTACAAGATGAGGAAACTGAGCTACAGAGAATTACACAAGTTGCCCAAGATCACACAGCTCGGAAGTGGATAACCAAAGTCTGCACACTCAACCTCTATGCTTCTTCGGAGAGAGGAGCAACTGTGATGTTTCTCCTTCATACATCTCCTTGAAACCAGTCTACTCATGGCAGATTTGGCTTATGACCAAAATCTCTTAGGTCTTTTGTTTCCAAAACAAAAATGATAGCAGTCAAAGGTAGAGTAGCGTAACCAAAATGCAGTTTGTTATCTGGAACTTGGTCTTTATGTCATGAGGACATCATTCTCCAGTCTGTCTGCAAATGAGTAAAAATGTTGGAATTCACAGTAGTTTTCAGGGTAGAACCTCGAACAAGATTTTAAAAATCAGCAAGATGGCCAGGCGAGGTGGCTCACGCCTGTAATCCCAGCACTTTGGGAGGTGAGGCAGGTGGATCACCTGAGGTCAGGAATTTGAGACCAGCCTGGACAACACGGCAAAACCCCATCTCTAGTAAAAATACAAAAATTAGCTGGGCGTGGTGGCAGCACCTGTAATCCCAGCTACTCCAGAGGCTGAGGCAGGAAAATCGCCTGAACCTGGGAGGTAGGAGGCGGAGGTTGCAGTGAGCAGGGATTGTGCCACTGCATTCCAGCCTGGGCAAAAGAACGAGACTCTATCTCAAAAAACAAAAAAAAATCAGCAACACATAACATCCCAGTGCTCTAATTCATTGCTGCTGAGTCCTTTTTGAAGCCAAATAAACCTTTCATATTCACATTCCAGAAATGTTCCTGCCTCCTACTCCCATGCTTTGTCTGGAAAAAATCCTTTATATCCCTCAAGGTCCAGTTCAAATGTCACCTCCTTTACGAAGCCACTCCCAGCCTCACAGACAGAATTAATTGATCCTCTTTTATGCTCCCACAGCACTTTATATTAGCATTGCTGGTATAGCTCTTATCATATTGTTTTATGATAAGAGCTATAAGTAAGCTCCTTGAGGTCAGACAGTTGTCTTATTCATAAACCCTTTTATTCCCATATCCCCAGCCTAGTACTTACCTTATTTCATCAAATCTAAAACTCCATCAATTGTAAGATATACCATTATTTCATGAATTACTAAGAAAAAAAAACCTGACATTTATTCTATGACATACCATCAATTTGAAGATTGATCCCAAATTCAGGAAATGTCAAAATGTTTTTCAAAATGTGCTTTAGAAGGAATGAACTGTGGCAATAAGTGCTCACCAAATGTTTACAGAACTGAATTATTAAACCAAGGTGAAACAGATAAGTCTAGAGAACTGTGACAGCCCACGCTTCTTAACAAGTAAGGGATTAGAAGTTGATGATGAATGGTGTGTGATTGCATTGCTGATTTCACATATTTTACCCTACAGGTTAGTTAAAGGGATGAGTGGCCTGATGTGCCATCCCTGTTAAAAATAAAAAATAATAAATAAATAAATAAATAAAATTTCCAAAGGTCAAGCTGGCTTATGCATGTAATCACACTCCTTTGGAAGGCTAAGACAGAGGATTGCTTGAGGCCAGGAGTTTGATGCCAGCCTGGACAACATAGTGAGACCCTGTCTCTAAAAATATAAAAAATTAGCCAGGCATGGAGGCAAGGTCCTGTAGTTTCAACTACTTGGGAGGCTGAGGTGGGAGGATTGCTTGAGCTCAGGAGTTTGAGGCTGCAGTGAGTTATCTGCGTTACTGCACTCCAGCCTGGGCAACAAGGCAAGCCCCCACTTCTAAAACAACAACAACAACAAAGACACCTCAAGATCTCCTATTTACTATACTAGAAAGTAAAGTGGTGATATGATTCTAGTTCCTTAAACCAGTTCAACACACTGCTGTTCCCATCTGCCCATGAAGAGGAATAATAATGGCTCAGCTTTCTCCCAGTTTATTCTAGCCCTGCTTTTATTTTGATGCAATCCCTTCCCAATTCCAAAGTGTTGGCTCTGTGATCTTGGCTCCTCTTTCTCCTTGGCCCTCTGAAGTTAGTGATTGTATATTACCTCCCTGGTTAGTGTCTGCACCTATGCTTTCCACAGGATCTTTCCATAGGGCAGGCCTTGCTGGATCTTAGTATTTCGGGCTGTCGCACCAAGAATCTGTATTCTAGTTTCATCCTAGAAATACAAACCCCACCCTCTGTGCTATACCTAGTCTAAGCCATGCATTTAATGTCTCTGGACCTCCTTCCACCACGCTCTTTCCCCGCCCGCAAGCACACATACACACTCATGCAAGATAAACCAAATTGTCACTGAAAACCTTAAATGTATGGTTGGTTCATAGAAATTCTCCTGGAATAAATGTTCCTCTTTGAAAACGGAATTATAGGCCAGGCACGGTGGCTCATGCCTGTAATCCCAGCACTTTGGGAGACGGAGGTGAGTAGATACCTTGAGTTTGAGATCAAGCTGGCCAACATGGCAAAACCCCATCTCTAATAAAAATACAAAAAAATTAGCTGCCTGTAATCCCAGCTACTTGGGAGGCTGAGGCACGAGAATTGCTTGAACCCAGGAAGCAGAGGTTGCAGTGAGCCGAGATCATGCTACTACACTCCAGCCTGGATGACAGAGCAAGACTCTGTCTCAAAAGAAAAAAAAAAAGAAAAGAAAAAAATAGAATTATACTAGCCGGACATGGTGGCATATGCCAGTAGCCCAAGCTTCTGGGAAGGATTGCTTGAGCCCAGGAGTTTGAGTCCAGCCTGGGCAACACAGCAAGACCCTGTTCCTCCTCTCACCCCCAAAGAAAGAATTATACTGAAAGGATTGAGCCTAGTAGCTTAATTAATACATTGTGAACTTTTTTTTTGGAGATGGAGTTTCACTCTTGTTGCCCAGGTTGGTGTGCAATGGCGCAATCTTGGCTCACCACAACCTCTACCTCGTGATTTCAAGCAATTCTCCTGCTTCAGCCTCCCGAGTAGCTGGGATTACAGGCATAGATGACCATGCCTGGCTAATTCTGTATTTTCAGTAGAGACGGGGTTTCTCCATGTTGGTCAGGGTGGTCTCGAACTCCTGACCTGAGGTGATCCGCCTGCCTCAGCTTCCCAAAGTGCTGGGATTACAGGTGTGAGCCACCCTGCCCAGCTACACTGTGAAATTTTTAAACATGTAAGCAGCTCTGCACATTAGCATTCAGGGAATGAGAGTCTTTGTGAGTCAAGTAAAAAGGGGTAATTTTAAAGGAGGTGATGAAGAAGAGAGTTAAAATAGGGCAACGAGTTCTTTGTTTGCTTTTGTACCTAGACCCTTTCTGAGAAGCCAGTGACCACTAAAAACCTGAAAGTCATCTCCCCTTTTGAGGCAGGCTGACAGTGCCTGGGTTAGATTTATCAGGACTAAGTCAGAAAGCTCCAAAGATTAGCACCTTTCAATTTACACCAATCCTCCCAGGCAAGGCAAGACTTGTTCAGCCTCCAGGTCAGCTTAGTCAGTCTCCATTCGGTGACTTCTCCAACCGAGGAAACAACAGAAAGGCAGAGAAACAATCTCTACTGATTTATTATTGATAGTATTTGGAGATGTTCAAACTATATAAAGGATCCTGCTTATATTTTCTTTCAAAAGGGGTCTGCAAAGTAGGTCCCCCAAAGTATTAGAATTGAATGCATCCAATGCCAAAGGAGTTTTACTTCCTTATAGGTAGAGTTAAACTTGCAAATAAAATCGTTGAGGTGAAATTCCAGAACATTAAAACTGAATGGGATCTTGATGGTAGATCTGCTGCCTTGTTTTATAGATTAGGACTTTTAGGTGAAGAAAGCTAACTAACCTGTCACTGTCAGAGCCGTTACTAGACGCCAAATGTCCTGACTCCCAGTCTGGTGATTTTCCCAACAGGGAAGATACCTAAATCCTTATAATTGTATCCCATCCTTATAGTCTGCAATTACATTTGGTTTATTAGGCTTAAAAACACCAAGCAAATAGAGCTCCTATTACAGGATATCCTGATAATTGATACAAACAAATGGTAAAGAATCAACTGGCCCATCACTTCCACCAAAGGACTGAGGCAGTACATTTTTACCATTTATAAGTGTAAAATAAATTGTTATCACCTGGGCCCCTTACAGAGCTGGATTACTGTATAAATCAAGCCAGCTCACTAAAAGTTTATCCAGATGACATCCAACTGCACCACAGTCCTCGCCAGCTTGTGATGTAAGCTGGGCAGGAAGCTTCCAAACCTTCCCCTGGTTGAAATTTGGGGAGAACTGTGTAAACAACGCCCCTTACTGGTCAACATAAGAAAACACAAAAGCCATGGCTGATAAGAGCAGGCCTAGCAAAGGTCACAGCTATCTATGTCTCTAAGCCATCTTCTAGTCTATGGGAACTGTGGCCAGGTCAAAGGAGAGAGCCTGGGGAAAACAGCAGGGGGAGGAAAAAAACTACATTTTTTTCCAGAGATGTTTATATCTACCTAATTAAAGTTAGATCCCCAAAGCAAGCAGATACATTTTTGGAATCCCATTGAATTCGAACAGGCAGTTACAAGACCCATAGGCATATGTTAGACTTATACACATAAACGAGATTTTTATTGTTAACATTAATGAACACAGATGGAAAAATATTCACGTGCCAAGGACATATTGCTTACAAGATCACAAAATGGCTGTTGATTTGTATTCATAAATGATTTGGTGAATCACTATGTGTTTTTGAGTGAATATATATATCTCATATCTATATACATGTGACATATATATGTGACATATGTGTGACATATATATAGGTATGAGATTTCCAAAGCTTCATTTCCACTTGTACTCCTTCAATAACTTCATTAGAAAGAGAAAGCAGAAGCTTGGAAACATCTATACGTTTTACAGATACTGTGATTCACCAAAAATGAAAATTACATTTTATTACGTATATTTTAAGTAATACACAAAGAAAATACAATAAACGCTGATTGGGCTCAATGACTTGCCTAATGGAAGGACTTTTTTAAGTTTTAAAAAAAATCCCCAGTAAAGTGGTCAAGGATACTTGATGATGTTGCCATAGAAGCAAAGTGTTTTCTAAGCAACTCCAAGGCTCTGTTATTTCTTGCTTGCAGGGTCTTCTCAGCTCTCAGTTTGTTCTTGATGGCACTGAGCTCTCTGCGCATCTTTGCCATTTCTAATTCATAATACAATTTCATTTCTTCTTTCAGGAGCACATTTCCAAACTCAGTTTGATGCTTTAACTTCCTAACAGCTTCTTTCAAATCTCTGTTCTCTAGGTTCAACTTGTGGATGACTTCTCTGGCTTGCTGGAGCTGTTCAGTTAAGTTCTTTACATTTGTTGCTTTTTCAGACAGGTCATTTCTTAAAGTTTGAAGTTCATAGTCACTTTTTGAAGCGTCTGTCTCTGTTTCTTGAAAATTTAGAGGTTTTGTGAATACTTCCTTTTTGGAGTACAAAAGTTCTTTTTCAGCATTTTCAAATTCCTCTTCTATTTTTCTACATTTCATATTGAGGTCTTCCAGTTCTTCATTCAAAAGATTCAAGCAAAGTTTTGGAGACATTCTTCCAATAAATCTCTTTCTAATGTCTTGTCGTAGTAGTGGTAAGTTATCTGTACTGCAGGTAGAGTTATCTTCTGTGCTAGTAAAGCTTTCTTCTGTTGTAACATCCGCCTTAGATGATTCGTAGGAAGCAGAACTTGTGTCTGTTTCATTCCTTGAAATGTTTATCTTGCTCTCTCTTAAATTTGGTTCTTGTTCTATTTCATTTAGTTGGAAAATATATTCTTTCCTCGTAAATTTATTTTCTTCTTGAAACTTTCTGCTGGACAAATTATACATTTCTTCCGTTCCCTTGCTGCTATCTGCAGTTGTTTGTTCAGAAGAAGATTCGGGCTGAGAAGTCTCTTCTAGAACATCCTGTGCACTAAAAAAAGGAGTAAACATATTCTCCTTCCAGTGTTTTTTTCTAGCATCCATTTCTCCAGGCACCTCTTCCAATATCTGAAAAACAAAATTTAAAACCAAGGTACATTATTTATACTAGTAGCTAGTATAGTAGAAAGAAATAAGAATGCTGGGTGAAGAATCTAAACATTTGAGGGCTGGCTCTCTCTCAAACTCACTGAATGACTTGGGCCTCAGTTCCCTCGTTTAGAAATGGAAATGGCTACAGGAGCTAAGTTTTACAGATGCTTCTAGCTTTAAAAGTCTCTGATCCTATGAAACAGAACTAGTAAACTGACATATTTAGCTACTTACTATACACAGAGAAAGTGATTCTATAAGAAAACAACTGTACACATAAAAACAGACTGCTTTTAAAATAATAAAAGTGATTTGAAATTAATAGGTTAATGTTGGCAATACCTGTGCTTTCAATGTGTCTTATGCCTTTCTAGTTCTTTTGGACTGGAGTATTGTTAATTCAGTCGTTAAAGTGACTAAAACATCAGGGCTTAATGAAATGTGAGCTACTTTTGGTAAAGTATACCATGCAGACTTCCTTATGACTAACTCTGCCAAATGCCCTTCTGTCTTGACCTATAAATTCCTGCTATTCCAGTCTTGGGCTTTGCTTTTAGGCAAGACTGCCAAGTGTACAGAATTCTATCCGTTTTGACAGCAATTTCATGAGGAGAACCTAATGTCAACAACTGAAAATATTAATGCCACCAAATGTGTTTTTCTCAAGATATTGATTCTGAGTATACTTTTAGGTGAAAATTTAGCACACTAAATCACAACCAACTTCCCAAGTTTATAAAAATATGAAGATGATTATTTTGTTTTCAAAAGAGTCTTCCCTATCCAAAGGGAATACTTAAAGTACAGCATTCCCAAACCAGTGAAATATTTGGTAAGCGACTACTTCTGAGGGAAGGGAGAAAGAAGAACCAAGGCACATGTGGAGGGCCAATGGAACCTGAAGCCACCAACTGGCAGCTGAGGTCAGCCCTAACGGATGAGAAGAAGGAGAGGGTTACTTTATTCAGGTTATATATTAATGTACCAAAACATATTTGTACTATCACCATGGAGAAAAATCAAAGTATGCCCACATCTCTTTTACCTATGGACTCAAATGTAATTTTCTGCTGGTAATGAGAAATGGCAAATGCTGTGTTTATTTCTTAATTAATATTTTCGTTGATTATTTATAACAATTTTGGAGAATACAGAAAAGCATACAAAAAGAAGGAATCTTCATAATATCATGGCCCCGAGATAACTACTTTTTGATGTATTATCTCTCCGGTCTTTTCTTTTTAGCAACAGTAGTTTATTTTAAATAACACAGGTTTTCCTTACTATGAGCAATGAAGGAATAAACTTGATACCTACAGGTACTGAACATGACTCTCCCCTTTCCCTCACAAAAGATGGAAGGAACTCATCATCCCCAAGGGTACATCCCTACTGGCAACTACTTGGCTTTGAGGAAAGGGGAAAGTACACATATTCTTAAGATGAACTATTTGGACAGTTCAGTGAAGGTACTAAAATGATTGGTCCAAAAGCAAGAAGCCAAGCTTTCTTGAGGTCATTCAGACCATAGTGGTAAACTCAGCCTTGAAATTCACAATATGTATTTGCCATTGGAATATCATCTTCTTTCTTTTGAAATACTCCTTTCTGACTTTTATTATTCTATGAGTCACCATTCAGAAGCATCATTGACTGATCTGTTCTTAAAGGGAAATATCGTTATCTTGGTTTCCCTCCTCTCTAGAAATATAAATGCAAAACAGTAGGCATTATTATAGCAATCATCGAGGAAAGGAACAGAGAGAGGGCAAAAGAGGGTGATGTTAATTGCTAGTCACATTTTTAGCAGTCCAATTTTTACCGGACAATTCTGTAGATGATAAAAATGCTTCTAATCAGGTAGCAATGGCAGAGAGATTACTATTCCTCTTACTTAATTCTGGATGAAGGGCATTGGTGGGATTGATTAGGAAGGAGGTGAGCACAGGGACAATTTAAGTGTGGCCACTTTATATCTGGAGATAGCAAGAATGACACATCTGAGATGGAGGTCTAGGCATGGATAAAGGTTAAAATAGAAAACTCTTTTCGTTAATAATTTTGCTCCTTGAAAAAGTTACTTCTACATCCAGCCATTCCATAAATCTCTGGTAAAACACATACACATATGCACACACACACACAAACACACACACAAATTTTGAATTTTCACTATCTTTCTTTCCTGGGCCTCTGTATAATTTCCTGCGTGTCTGAAAGCAAATGCCTTTCAGTGAACACTACACAGCTACATAAATGGGAAGAGTCCACTTATGACTAAGGCCCACAGAAGTTAAATGACTTGACCAAGGCCACACAGCCCATAGTAGTAAGACTGAGGACTCTGTCTCCCAGGTCAGTGCTTGTTCTAAAATTCTTCTTTATTCATCTGCTTGGTTTCATTCCCCAAACTGAAAGAAAACAACCCACTATTTTCAAAGCTTAGGTATCTTATAAAAAAAGGCCACAAAAGAAGAGAGGAAAAGTGAAGGGGGAGGGTAAGGAGAACTGCATGTCACATTTCAAAGAACAGAAAGAGAAAGGTTTGAAAAGCCTTTTGGAATTTCCCTCCCATGGCTTACACAGGGCAGGGTCAAGGGGTCTCTGAGCTGCTCTTTTTCTCTCTCTCTCTCTCTTTCTTTGGCAAGATATCCTTTAAGAGCTTGTTCCCAAATCGAGTCACAGAATGTGGCAAAGCCCAGACTCGGAGTAAAAGCTGCCCGTCTCATTTTCTCTTCACAAATTGCACTGTTTGGGTTTTTATGCAGAAAGAGTATGGCATTCGTATTCTCTGGCAAGAACAAGGAATATGCTTTCAGGCAATGACACTCCTCTACCCTGGCCTGGCAGCCATTTTGTTCTCAATAAACTTGACTAGGTAGTTTGTTCCAGCATAAGGCAAACCAAACCAGAAGCCATGACTGAAAGTGTAGGCATGCCTGTTAGTGAGTCAGCTGTGGACATTTGTTAATATAAGTGCCTACCCAACACTACACTGGATACCGAAGGTCTGAAGGGTAGGGGAAGGAGGCCCAATGGAGATGAAAAACTGGCTTCTTTAGAAGCAAATAATCCAGAACACAGACAGGAAAACAAGACAGTCATATGACAAAAATAACAGTAGTCCTCTAAGACAGCAATCCCCCAGAAATCCTTAGGACTGCACTGTCAAGGCATATGTGTCTACAATATGACTGCATGTATTCATTTGTGTCTGACATGAATTAATAATGGACTCTTGATGGTTCTAGTTAGTGTCTCACTGAAAACATCACCATTTCTCCTCGAGTGACTTTTTTTTGCAGTGGCAAAGTAATAGGACATTTTTGTGGTGTAAGAGATCTCTTGTCCCATGAAAGTGGTTTGTATTCACCTAAAGAATTTGAGAACCACTGATAAAACAAATTGAAGATGAATTTATGATATAACATGATGTAACATAAATGTTGAGAGCTAAGCAAAGAACAATCATTTACTATGGACCTGTAGGTGCACTGTTCCATAAAAATCTTAGAAGAATGCATATCTAGTCTCAAATAGCTTTGGAAAATAATACACTACTGTTTACCCTGAAAGGAGAAATCCACAAACCATCTCAGTTTCATTTTTGAGCTGGGGCCCCAGACAGTATAATCATATTAAAGTAGACGTGAAATTTAATTATTTGTTTTCTAAAATATTCATATTTTAAATCACAGGCTTTAAGGAAATTTGATGACATAAATCAAAGTTTTTTTCTGTTGCCTTATCCCATTTATATGGGCATCGTGGGTCACGTCTGTAATCCCAGTGCTTTGGGGGGCAGAGGTGGAAGGATCACTTGATGCCAAGAGTTCAAAACCAGCCTGGGCAACACAGTAAGACACATGTCTATAAAAATTAAAAACAAAAT